CAGGATGCTCCTTCATTTAAAACATAACAAAAACAGGATGCTCCTTCCTGCTCCCCGCCGAGAAGAAGCGCACAAGCCCGAGCGATACCAGGCCAGGGGATGCGCTCCGGCAACATGTGCGAGGCGAAGCCGGCCGTGGCGACGAGGGCCTCCCGGGAGGCCCTCGGAGGCGAACGCGACGGAAGCGTGGCGGCATCGGCACCCGTGTTCCTCCTCTGACCCCCAGGCGCCAGGAGCCCGAGCACCTCGAGCAGGCGGTCGGCTGCAGAAAAGAGTTGCCCCACAACAGATTTGGTCGTCGACTCCGCAGCACTGGCACGCAGACTGTTCGCAGGTCTACAAGCGTTATCAACTTCTGTTTTGCAGATCCGACCAACACTCCGATGTTGGGGCACATCGGTTCTGTAGCCGATCTCCTGCTCGACAACTGTGGGAGACCTCTGGGGCCCGCGTCCTGCAGGCCCCCCCTTTCTCGGCCACGCGCAGCGAGTGACCCTGGGCAGGAGTGACGATCAGGGCGCGGATGAGGGTTGGCGACGCGCACGAGGGGGGCAGGGGGGAGGGAGGACGGCTTCTTGCAGGAAGCCTGCCGCTGAGGAGACGCCAGCCCCTACACCTACGGAGAAGGCCCGCGCCTTCTGCGGAGCAGGGGTGTATCTGAGAAGCATTCGGCTACATGCAAGAGCGACCCTGGGTAAGAGTGACCTTTGGTGCGCGGCTTTGGGGGGGTATTGTTGCGGGAGCACCGAACACAAGCGCGCAAGACGCCACTGCCGCATCGCGTTCAGCAGTCGGGTGACCCCATTGGGCCCGCACCAAAGGTCACTCCGGCGAAAGGTCACTCTTACGTCTCCAGTCATCGGCCTGACCAAGGAACGTTAAAGAAGGAACGAAGCCCCTGTTTTCCAATGAAAAAAGCATCAGGAAAGATAAAAAATCAAAAACGCATAAGGAAGGATACGTAACGCATGTAAGCCTTGAGGAACGACCGAGCCCCTTTTGAAAAGTAAGTGTTCCTTACTCAAGCCGCTCACTGTAGTCGCAGCCTTCCCCCCCCCCCCCCGCGACCCCCCTTTCTGCGCATGGCCGACTCGGGGGGCGCAGGCCGGCCGGATCCGGGCACTGCAGGCGGCCACCTTCGCTTCGCGCTCCACCAGCGGGGGGACCCCCTGCGAGCCCGCACCACACGGCCTGGGAGGCTTTGGGCAGGGGCGCCAACACCAACACAGGGAGTTGCCTCCACCGGGGGAAGACGATCCCAGATCCTGGCGTGGGTGATCATAAATAGATATGAAAAAAAGGGGGTCTTACGCGAGATGGCATAGCGCCCTTACGCGGTGGCTTACGCGGGCCGCCAGCGCGGCACGCCACATTGTAAGCGAAGGCGCTACCGCGCGAGCTTACGCGGACAGCTTACGCGCCAATGTCGGCGCAGACGATCCCGTTTTTTCCGTCGCTCAGGATCGATCTTGGAGGCTTGAAAACGGGCACCAACAAACACAAGCACAGGGGGGTGCCTCCACTGGGGGAAGATGATCCCAGATGTTCGTGTTGATGGTAATCTGTGTCGGCCACCTGGGAAGCCTGAACATTACCACCATCACCGAGACATGGATCGCAGTCCCTCGTTGGAAGCACACCGCCGATATTGGTGTGGGTGTCAACTTCCAGCTCCGAAGGTCGCTCCTGCGAAAGGTCACTCTTACGTGAAGTCGGCTTGTGCCGTTCGAAGCCCGGATCGCGGAGCAGCCCACACCGCGTGACAGGCCTGTGGGAGACGCCTGCAAGGGCGCTCGAAAGGATGTCTGGAGAGCCTGCAAGCTCGAGAGAGGAGCTCCGAAGGAGGCAAGGAAAGGCTGCGAAAGAGCAGCTCGCAAAACAGGCTTCCCGCAAACGTACTGGGAAAGAGTGGCGAAACGCTTGCGGGACACGCTGCAACTCAGAGGAGCTAATAGGGGAGATGTGGCACCCCTATCCCAGGCTTCGTGGGATTTCGAATGGACCAAAACTTTGGGGCCAAACCCTGGTATAAACATTTGGGGGGCGTCCATCTTCGATAGAGGTGCGTATGAATAGCTTCCTGTGGGTATATCCCAAGGCTTCCCTTCTTTGCTGGGCGGCTTCAATTTTTGTCGAGTAGTCGGGGGCTTGGGGAGGAAAATTGACTGCGAGGAGCTGCTGCGAGGTGCCCTGCCCGAGAGCCGTGGAAAGGAAGCTGGCCTACCCTGTGACGGCGGCTTCAAATTTGAACCCCCCTTCCTTGCTGTCGCTCGGACGTCCATTTCCCGTGCGTTGCTCGGTGCCGTGCGTGCCTTCTTCCCTCAACGATTCAGGATGCTCTTCGATGGTCCTCGCCGAGGAAAACACACACAAACACACACACAAACACACACAAACACACACACACACGGCCGAGCGATGCCAAAGACTTAGCTCTCCCCGAGCTCTCCGGGATCCTTCTTTCCCCAGTGACCGCCCGCAGGCGGGAGGGCGGGCCCACCTCGTGCGCGGCCGCCCGCGGCCGCACCGTCGGGAGGATCCCCTCGGGCACTTCGCTGAACTCCTGCAGGAGGCGTGGGGGAGCAGCAGGAACACGTCCTCCCCCTCCTCCTCCTCCTCCTCCTCCTCCTCTTTCTCGATCCTCCTCCTCGATCCTAGATCCTCCTCCTTCTCCTCATCCTCCTCTTCCTCCTCCTCCTCCTCCTCCTCCTCCTCCTCCTATTGTTATTTCCCTTATAACCTGTCGCACCCCGAGGCCAGTTTTCGGTGCGGGCCAGGCGTTTCGCCTGAGACTTCCTCACCATCTATGACCCTGAAACTTCGAAATCGGCAACAGTTTCACAGATGGAGGGCGGGCCGTTTTCAAAATGTGGCTCTCGCCTTAGCGCCGCGCGCATTCGTTTAAGACAATGGCGAGCGTTTAACGGATTGAGGGCGGGTCGTTTTCAAAAAATGGCTCTCGCCTGAGCGCCGCGCACTTCGTTTCAAACATCTGCAAGAGCTTACGGATTGAGGGCGGTTCCTTTTCAAAATGTGGCTCCCGCCTCAACGCCGCGTATATTCGTTAATCAAACTTACAAGAGTTTCACGGGTTCCCATGATCAAAATACCAGAAATGGTGTGTTGGAAGGATTCAGGATTATGAGAGCGCAACACTTACGTTCATTCGTGGTGTTGAAGTCCCCAAAATGGCGCTGTGGCGCGATTCGGGATCGTCAAACGCAACAGTGAGGTTGATCCGTGGTTTGGCATGCTTCAAGGTCTTCAAACGGTTGTCTTCAAACAAGGCATATCCCTCAATTGAAATGAACCGCTGTAGGGGCCTATGAAGAGAGAGATTAGAGGGAGGGTTTACTCCAACATCGTTGATGGCTCTTGGATTTACGCTTCACTTGTTCTCCTCCTCCCCCCCCCTCCTCCTCCTCCTGCTCCTCCTCCTCCTCCTTCTCCTCTTCGATCCCCTCCCCCCCTCCTCTTCGATCTGCAATCCTCCTGCTCCTCCTCCTCCTCCTCCTCCTGCTCCTCCTCCTGTTCCTCCTCTTCCTCGAATTTCGCTGATTCGAACCCGCTGAGCTCCTGACAAGCCCGCGACGCTGGGCGGCGGCTGAGCGGACCGCTCGGCGAAGCTCGACGCGCACTCAGGCAACGGACGCCCGCTGCTCACCGACGACGGTCCTGCAAGCGCCACAAGTAGAGCGGGAGAACGAGCGGTAGGGGGGAGGATGACGAGGGGAAAAGGCGGCGCCCTGACCATCCAGAGCTCTGGGCAGATAACCCTCCAGACCTATCTGGACTGCTTCGGGGAGGAGCGGTGATAGGAGGAGGAGGAGGCGGATGAGGAGGAGGAAAGGAGGACTGGGCGGATGAGGCGGAGCAGCAGGAGGAGCAGGGGCAAGGGGATAAGGAACAGAGAACAGAGAGAGAGAAGCATAGAAATAGAGAGCGAGAGAGCGAGAAAGAAGGGGGGAGGGCGAGAGAGAGAGAGAGAGATAGAGAGATAGAGAGAGAGAGAGCGCGAAAGTGGTGAAGAGAGAGAGAGAGAGACGGTATGGATAAGAGTGGCGCGCTCGCGCCATGTCTGCCATCTTACCCCTTCCACCCATCCCTCAATTTGCTGTGTTTTCCGGGTCCGTCAATGGGTATCATAGCGGAGTTGGACCCCCCCCAAAAGACCCCACTCGGCCATGCGCGATCACAAACGGGGAGATGCGTGCAGAGGAGGAGGAGCCAGCGGATGAGCAGGAGAGTGAGCAGGAGGAAGATGAGGAAGAGGAGAAGCAGGAAAGAAGACGACGAGACACCAGCGGCTGAGCAGGAGAGTGAGCATGAGGAAGATTAGGAGGACGAGGAGAAGGTGTAAAGAGGAGGAGCACGAGAACCAGCAGCAGCAGGAGCAGGAGTGGGAAAAGCGGGAGAAGCATGATGACCAGGGGAAGGCAGGGGATGGGAAAGAAGCGACAACAATGAGGCGGCACCCGGATCCAGAAGCGCCATCAGCGCTCGGGCGAGAGCGTCATGCTGAACGATGGGAGCATAGCGCCAGTCCTGAAACGAGGCCACCGCTGCAGCGGGAGGGCCATTTTGAAATATCGAAGACGCTTCGAATGAGCAGCAGCCACCGGAACTATCAACTGTTGAACTCCTGTGCGTTCAAGATACATGCGCGGAGGGGCAGGCCACTCCCCCGCCATCCTCCGGGGTGGGCAGGGGAGTAATACATACTCATGGGCCATCGTGCCGCTGGGCACGGAGTGGGCGTGTCCTCAGGTCCTCTGCCCAACTCCCCGAGCTTCAATCCCCACTCCCGGGGAACCTTTACGGGGATCAGAGCCCCAATTCACAATTCTCCCGGGGCTTGCCGCGGTTCCCCTGGGCTCCCGCGAGTGTTCTCGCATGACTGTTCGGGACCCTCGATGCCCCAAGACGGGTCAAGAGGACACCAAGAGGCGTCCAAGACGGCCCAAGAGCGCCACGAAACGGCCCAAGAGGCGCCCAAAACGGCCCAAGAGGACCCCAAAACGGCATCAAAAGGGGCCCAAGACCAAGAGAGGGAACACGAACCGAAAATCCAAACTTTCCGCCCCAAGAGGCCCCCAAGAGGCCCCCAGGAGGCCCCCAGAGGCACCCAAGAGGCCCAAATGTCCCCAAGAGGCCCCCACGAAACCCAAAAGATGCCCCAGGGGGCCCCAAACGGCCCCCAAGAGGCGTCCCACAACTGCCTCCAAGAGACCCCCGAGAAACCTCCCACGAGATCCCAACGAACATCCAATATGCTTCATCCCCACAACCCAAGCACGGTGATGGGCTGGGCCTAAGGCCATCATATTGTGAGTGATTACAGAGAGAAGAGAAGCACAAGCTAGGTGCACTCGCTCCATATCTGCCATCCGACGCCTCCCACCCATCGCTTCCCATTGCGCTGTTGATCCTCCATCCGGCGACGCGTGTCATAGCGGCGAAAAGCAACAGCAATAGCTGGAGTGGAAGGAACGGGAGGACCAGGATGACCAGGAGCAGGCGGATTGGCGAAGGAAGGGAAACGGATTTGGCGTCAAAACCGAAGATCATTATTACCCACGGAATTCGCCCGCGATGGAGCGAGAACGCCAGTCTGAACGACGGGAGCAAACCGCCAATCCTGAACCGATGTCAATTTTGCAACATGAGCACAATTTTAGAAGGACCGTGCATGCTCGAATTGAGAAGTCGCGTAAAAAAACGAAAGCGAACCAACCCTGTGGGTAAACAGTTCTACGCGGAGGGTGGCGTCACTCTCACCATGTCTTCGTGGGAGAGCGTGGTGTAGTAATCATAGTGTGGCATTGAAGGGAGGAGAGAAGGAAGCTAGGTGCGGTCGCGCCAGATCTGGCATCCGACCCCTCCCACCCATCTCTTCCCATTGCGCAGATTTCCTCGATCTACCAGCGAAGAGCTCCCTCGTTTCGGCGCGATCTGAAAAAAGAGGTGTTGTCTATAGTGAAGGAGGTGGAGGATGAGCAGGAGGAGAACGAGGGTGGGAAAGGAGGAGGACGGGGACGAAAAGCAGCAGCAGGAGCTGGGAGCGAAGGGGCGGGAGAAGTCGAACTACCAGGGGAGGGCGTAGGAGAGGAACGGATGGGGGCAACAACGGTGAAGAAAAACTCGGATTCAGGAAACTGGGCCGCGCTCGGGCTAGAGACTGGCATTCTGAACGACGGAAACAGGGCGCCGATCCTGAAGCGAGGCCCCCTCTGCAGCAGGAGCGCCATCCTGGAAACACCGAAGACGTCCGGGTGAGAGCAGCACATCAGCAGAAATATCTCGAACGATCTCCAGCGCGAAAGCAAGAATACGAGGAGGGGAGGCGCACCACTCTTGGCACATCTTCGGGGGATGGAGGAGAGTAACACTTAGACTGTATAGATGTGATATTCCTGGTTCGTGCCCCGAAGCAGCCACATGCCTGGCATCCTGGCGGCAGCCGCCGGCATTGCGGCAAGCTGCCGCCGGCCGTTTCGCGAGCCATGTCCCAGGAGGGAGCCCTGCAGCAAGTAGTCGTTTTGTACTTCGATGGCCACCTTGTCGATCCCTACCTGCACCGTCTGGCCGTGCAGAGCCGCATGAACACGACGAACGTTTTCGGGTCCAGAAAAGAGTGCGCGAAGACGACCTGGAGGAGCAAGGGGTTCACGAGAGGAGAGGTGGTATAACTCCCCAGCCCTCGGAAATGCCTCCGGAGCCGTCTCGGACAGTTGGGGCCCCGTGGCCACGCGCGCGTGCAGCAAGATCGTCCGCAAGACCTCGCCATCCTTATGGCCCACCTCGCCCTGCATCTTTTGCCAGTGACGTAGTCCTGGGCGCTGTGGTGCGGGCGGGTCTTCGTCTCCGTGGCCGCCAGCACACTCGGGACCAGCCGCGAACGCTTCCACTTCAACATGGTGGCAGCCGCTCCTGTGTCGAGCAGCATCCGCCTGTCCAGGGCCTCCACCTAGACCTCCGACGAGGCCTCAGAATAGACCAGCGCGGGGGTGTCCGACAGCACCGCCATCTGGGAGCAGACCGGCCAGAAATGGTGCAGGACCGTGGGGCTGTTGACCTCCAGGAACATCGCGTCGGGGTCCCCGCACATCAGGGAGGAGCCGAAGAACGTCGTCTTGGGAAGCATGGTGCGACGTAAGTGGCGCAATTGAAAAACATGAGCAACTGGAAGCGGAGTGGGGACGATGAGGTCGAGGGTGATGCGTGGGAGGTCCTTGGTACTCGCCCAGCTCCGCTGCGGGGGGCGGCAAACGATCTGGCCCAGCATCGGGTCCCGGATAGTGGGGTAGAACCTGGGCAAATCCTTGACGAACATGTCGACCGTCGTGACAGTGACCGCCGCGATCTGACGGCCTGTACTCCACAAATTATCGTAACCGACCAGGAGCCGATAAAGGACAGCTTGGAAACGGCGAGTCCCATGCGATGATGTCGCGGGCGGTGGTGACCAGGGAGGATGAGTTCGAACGGTTGCGGCACAAAGCACGCGCTCTTGACTAGGGTAGACATTTGTGGCTCCACATCGGAGACCACCACAAATCCATAATGTTTTTCGCGGAGGCCATGCCCGCTGGGCGGGGAGTCCCAAGACCCAGCGTTCCGCAGTAAGGCGGGAAACAATACTGTCAGAGCGTTGCCGCTCGCCGTAGCCCACATCGAGACCGCCTGCCCGCGGGGCCGCTCCCAAACCTTGGGGTCGCCCTTCTCCGCGAGGCTCGCGACCTCTCGGGACTCCTCCATCCGGTGGGGCACGTGGGCACTGAAGATGTTGGACCACTGGGTCAAGGAGGTCGGCGGCGGCCTCCCTGTGGGCGTGCAGCATGTCGACGGCCGCCGGGCCAAGCTCCTTCCGTAGGGGGAGCCTGGAACCTTCACCACTCGCCGCGCTCGAAGATGTTCTGGCCGGTCGGTATCGCACTTCATAGCATCTCTGGAAATCGTCGCGATTGCGCCACCAACGTGCTGTACATCGGCACTGGTCCACGTCCCCTTCCCAGCCACGTCGCACAAGGATCGCAAGCTGCGCAAGAACCACTGGCGATGAGCTGTGCCGACAGGTCGGGGCCCTTGCATAAACCGCAACCCGAGGCCTTCCAATGATCATCGGAGTCGACATGGCGCGCGAACTTCTTCAAGATGGCGGCGAGGCCGGCCCAGTCCGAGGGCATCTCGAAGGACGTCAAGGCCTCCGTGGTCATGGTGTCGCGTGTCGCCTGAACGATGCTGAAGTGGGTCAAGGCGTCGTCCTCCAGCCAATCCCTGAGGAGCTGGCCCTTGACGGAGGGGATCGACGTCGGCGGGGTCGAAGAGGTGGGCGACGAGGTGGGCGCGGCTGGCGCCGCATCAGCAGCCGCTGCCGTGCTCTGGATGTCGTCGTCGACAACCTCGATGGCGTCCAGGTGGTCCATATCGGCGGCGATGTCTGCGTTCATCTGCAGTGCCGCCACGGCCTGCGTGACCCCGATGCCATCGGCTGCGAAGTCCATATTTAGGGGGAGAACAAACCTACCTCGCTTTTGACCACCCTCGCTTCCAAGATATACCAAACGATGCCAAACTACGGCCTGCGCTGGTCAGGCCGCTTGACGAGGAGGCGCGTGGTATGACTTGGTTTTGCCTGGAAGCGAAAGCGGGGTATGTAATTCACGCTCTGAATA